TAAAAGTTATAAATGTCTTTGGTGCCTGTTTGTTTTGTAAATATATCAGTGTGTGTGATTGACAGGCATCAACTGATTGACAGGCAACAACTTCAAACACTTTGTAGAACGGTTCTTTATGAAGTTTGACGACAGATCTGACACATTTAAAATGAGGCATCTATGTGTATATGTCTATGGGTTTGAATCACAGAGAGCAAAGCATCATGGGTTTTTCATTGAACCTTTAAATACCCAGGTTGGTCCCACTGAGCCTCGGGGACTCACTGACAGAGACCTGGACCTGGGTCATGTGACACTGAGCACCAGCTGGATGGAAAGACAGACCTGCACTGATTCAGACAGCTCCATCCATCCTCATCATCCATCCTCATCCATCCATCATCCATCCATCATCATCCATAAATGTCTTTATAAAGTCTTCCCAGTGGTTCATGAGATATTTTGCTAACAGACAAACTAAATACAACACCTGCTTCCTGCCTTTGAGCAGCAGGTGACCCTGAACTCCTTTCAGCTCCTCTCCATCAAATGACTGAACCAGCAGTTGAGCCGTTGGTTGTAGAAGATGAAGGAGCAGAAAGCTCCTCCTGATGATCTGCTCGTGTCTTTCTGGACCGAGCCACAAGGATGAAGGCTGGTGATGAGAGGAGGAGGAAGAGGAGGAGCAGGAGGAGGAGGAGGGGGAGGAGGAGGAGGAGGAGGGGGAGGGTGGCCGAGTGCATTTCTGAGTCACCGTAAACATTCATCACGGCTCCTGGTGCTCCGACAGATGGGCAGTAGGCGACACACACACACACACACACACACACACACACACACACACACACACACTGTATACATACAGCATAAGGGCAGCAGTAAAGCAGCTCTTGGCCCGTTTGGGCCGGTCAGAACTATGTGAAGGGACAGGAAGTGGTCTGGGAGGTTTACTTTGGGCCGATACCCGCGGGCCTGTGTGGAAGGAGAGGATGAAGAGGAGGAGGATCAGCTGGTCCTGCTAGACCAAGACTATTCAACAAAACTGCTCAGGGGGCCACAGGTTCTGAAAGCCAGTGGGGGGGGGGGGGGGGGCCCATTGATAAAAATAAAAAATCAAATTTTACAACAGTCTGTTATCTTTTAAATTTCTTTATTTTATTGCATTGAATCATAAAAGCAACAAACAGAAAGTTTTTTTAGTGAAGTGGCCCGTGGGCCGCCGGTTCAGTAGTCCTGTGCTCAGACCAGATCCTTAACGATCCTCTGGATCATGGAGTTCCTGGCTCCTCCTCTTCCTCACTCCTCCTGTCCCTCGCCCTGGACAGGAGGAAGATGAGCAGGAGGACTCCATGTCTTCCTGGGTGCCGGTCCTTCAGTCCGACCCCTGGTTGAAGGTTGGAGGACTCACAGAAACAAACTGATGTAAATCTAAATCTTTTTATGGTCCAAACAGAACCAGAACATTTTGACGGAGCAGGAAACATCTGTTCATGTGACGGAACACTCCATGTGGGTCGGACCAATATCTCTGGACCAGAGGGACCAGAGTTCTAGATTTTTGATGGAACCAATGGACCCAAGAAGAACAGGAGCACCCAGACTAACCACCTGGTTCTAACCTG